TTTAATACATCTAACCTACTAAACACCATAGCTTAGCCTAGCCTACCTTAAATGTGCTCAGAACATTTGCATTAGCCTACAGTTGGCCAATTATCTTGAATTTTATCTTGAGTAACGGCCTTCCTCTCCTCCTCCTTCCCAGAAGCAGGAAACACAAATGGGCATTTTGTAGACATGATCTGATGCGAAAACACAAAATCCAAAAACCGCTGGCAACACAGTACACTAAGAGTACCCACTGTTTACTCGCGAAATCATGAGGCTGCTGCTGTCCAGCATCGTGAGAGCATCATGACACATTACCAATAAGCTGGGAAAGGATAAATATTCAAATCTGAAGTATGATTTCTACTGAATGTGCATAGCTTCATGCCAGTGTAAAGACAAAAAAAGTCGCAAGTCAGACCATCCTAAGCAGAAGACCATCTGTACTTACTTATTTACTTATTTTTATCTTTGGTACTTAACACAATGCCCAGCACTTACTAGATATTAAACAAATACATATTCAATATGAGTGAATGAACAAGTAAATGTTAGGAGAAAAGGGAAGGCACAAAATGCTGCAGACTATTTAGCAGATGAAAATCATTAAATACTTGGGTTTTTTTCCCAAAAGAAAGGGGCCCAGATTAAGGGTAAGGAAAAGGACCACTTCTTAGGAATACTACTTAAGGGACAGAATAATGTCAGCATTATGATGATAATCACTGGGGTAGAATATGTAACAAGGATCCCACAACCACCTAGTATTGGCCGCCAAAGTTCTTCACTGCCACATTTTACTTTAAATCTACTACTTTGATTTGGCATAATGGTGATAGAGAATCTGGAGCATTCTGAGGAAACCATGACCCCTGCCATTCCAAGAAAGCCAATGTTGGGTCCATGAACTCCTGTTTGCATCTGCTATCATGGGCAGCTGTGATTGACTACAAGTGCGGAAAGAGAAGCTATATCAGATCTGATAATACGTGAGTATTATGAGCAGTGTCCAGGCAAAAAAACAGCACTCTCAAATAAGGTATTCAAGAGAATATAGTGAAGAAACCATATTTAAAAGTATAGGTAGGGTTTAGAGAAAGCAGCAAGAGAGATGAAATACTCCCAGCCTAGCAATATCAGGAAGCCACTATCACCTCTAGGCCTAAAGGGGCAAGTAAAGAGTTACCAAAACCCAGAAAGATCTGTAACTGTAGCTGGCTGGCAGGGAGGGCCACTAAATAGAAGCTGTGACCTACTCACAAAACACAGACTGCTCTGGCAATACACATCTAGCAAGAGGGAACTGGCTCTTCCAGGCCTCCTCCTGATGTCCAACTGGCCAAAGCCGACCAGAAACCAAAAAGCAAATGCTCAGTTAATACAGTCCACAGAAGTCAATTCTCAAAGCACAGAGCAGGGTGGAGAAAAGATTAGGTGGGGCAAAAGTAGAATATAAAGCACAGAAAGGTATTCTAAATGACCGCCACCCAGAAAAACATAGGCACATAAAAAGGTTTGCCGGTTTCATCTAAATCTTCTAGACACCATGAGACTGCCTGCAGAAAACTCATAAAATAGGTACCTGAGTTCCTACTACCTCATATCGATTTGGAAAAAAAAATTATGAAAATAATCTCAGATAACTTTTGTCATTTCTGCATCTCTAAGAGTAGAGACAACCTATTTATCTATTGTGACGACTTCCTTCTCTAACTCGAAAGGCACCTATTCCAAACCTCCATTATTATTTTTATCGTGATGTACTATAACCTCTTGTTTGTTTCTCCCTCATTAGACCCTGATCTCCTTTAGGGCAGGGACTGTCTTATTCATCTTTTTATCTCTGGCACCTAACATGGACCTGGCACAGAGTTAGCCTTCAATCAGCGTGCACTGGACTCACTGTCTATTAATAATGACAGCCTAAAGCCATGGTGGATAAAATCTAGAACGACCCTCAGCAATTAAACCCCAATAAGTTTTATTCAGGGCACAGTTACGCACATTGGACAAAACACACAGCTCCTTTCAGACCAGCCCACTATCATCCTCTGTAGAGCAGCCTGTCTTGTGTGCTCACAAGATGTTTATGGCCTTTACTACAATCACAGAACTCATCATCAAAAGAGACAGAGAAAGATGGCAAGACTATGCTCCATTTCCGAAAGGAATCAAATACACATCATCTCTCAAAACTCTCTTTTTCTAAGAATTCACAAGACCTACTGAAAGAATTAATAATTTGAGTATATATTATATAGAGGAGTTCATGTTTCACAGTGATGATTATGTTGACTGGGGTAGAAATGCTTACGCGCACAGGCACACACAGAGGATGTGTTTAATGATCATTTCGACAGACATCACCCTCTGTAAAATTATAATGTAGCCATGTAACACAATCACATAACACTGTCCTATTAAAATGGATATACTATATGATGTTGGGGTGGTCATTAACAGAACATGGAACATATTCACATTATAATTATGAAACATTTTCACATAACCCTGTACTTACAAAGTGCTTAATCATCTTTTTGTTGGTATAGTCAACTCTGACCTGTAGATTCTCCACAGAAAAAGAAAAGAGTTAATGCCAAGTTGATAATCTTCTTCAAGCCACCATGACTTTAGGCTGCCAATCTCCTGCTGCTGGTAAGATGAATAAAAGCCAAATTTAAAATGACCCTTAGACTCCACCAGAAAGGTGAGTTTGCTATAAAAATATATTGTCTTCCAAAACTCAGAATGAAGTTTTTTTTTTTATCTTTTGCCCCACAATTCTCCTTCATTGCTCTCTGTTCTAAAGAGGTGATATTCTTAAATCTAATGTTATCTTATATACCAAATTGAAATAAATCAATACTTCATTTGCTATTTAGAAAAAGAGAACTCTGGGCTTATCTTGACAATACACTGAGTTACTATAAAAGAAATTCTATTAATACAAAAACAGGTAAAACATTTTTCAAAGAGATCAGGTATCTTTTCCTAAAACATACTTAATGCACAAATCCCCCAAACAAGTTTTTTCCAAAACCACCAAAGACATTTAAAATCGTAAGCACAATTTTATCTTTTTGAGAGCCATCATAAATCCTGTAACTGTTAGGCCAATGCAACAATAAATTACCTCTATAGAACAATTGTGTGATGTTTGCATCATGTTGAAAATATAAACTACAAGAACTTATAATTTCTAAAACCGTACTGCAATAGGGTTCCTCCATTATACATAAATTTAAAAAACAAACAAAATGTAGATATACTATATGGCTCTATGTTTAGTAACATTAGCTTGAGCTACTTCAGAGCATTATTGTTTCATTTGTCAAGCAGTAGAGTGCCTGGCTCAAAGATAAAACATAATATTTGTTTTATAAATTAGTAAATCTCATAAGGTAGGAAAGAGGAAGTTGATATATAATTCTGACAGTATAAGACATATGGCAATGACAGGATAATATCCAATATATTCGAATTATCCAAATTACTTCTGACCAAACATTTTCCTCTCCATGAAAATATAAATGAAGTTTAACAAAGCTCCACTGACACTGAGTACAAGTTAAAGTACACTTTAAATTTTAACATTTTTTTCTTTTATTTTAAATTTTAAAAGTTAGACATTTATACAATCCATGAAGTGAATTTAAAATTTAACATCTTTACCAAAGAGGAACTTTTTGTTGCAAATAAATTTGAATATATTTTAATGTAATTATTAATATATCCTGACATCTGAAAGGATCACTTGTGTTTCTATAAAAAGTGTTCCAAAATTGCATTTCCTTTTCCTAAACTTAATTCCTACAATTCACTGTGGAGCAATACAGGTAGTGTCTTGATAAACAGTAAAAATGTTTCATAATTTCTAAGAATTAAGCAAGACTGCAAGCACCTAAATGGTCTGGTTCGAAGCAGGAGAATGGAATAATGGATTAAAACCAGAGGAATTTCCCATCACAGAAAAGCCGTAATGCAGGCTTGCCATCTAGAATACTGCTAAAGTCACATATCTCTAACCCTGAGAACCTGCTAATACTATTTCTTCGCTACTTGCACATGAGGACTACCCAAACCTCAAGAAGGCCTTCTTGTTTATGTGTGTTTTCCTTAACGTACTGCCTTACACAATACATATTTTAAAAGGTGAAAGTTACTCATTCCAACGCCTACCCCTTATCTAGATGACTTCAATTCTTTCTCGTCAAAAGAAAGGAGTAACTGGCAACCAGAAACCCCAGAACTGAACTCTTCCATCAGGAAGACAACGCCAAATTTGCTGCAGTTAAGAATGTCCAGGGCTCCTTGTGAGCTGTCACAGAAGACGGAAAGCTATACCACGGAAAGGTCTGTGCGGAGAAAGGAACAGCAGGTCTGGGGCGTGCACCGCAACCCCACCCCCACCCCCCAAATATCAAGTTTCTTCAGACTTATATAGGTAGAAACTTGGCATCCTCACACCCACTTCAACCTGACAATTTACAGCCTAGTAACACCTTCTAATTAGGAACGTTCTAGCCTTTTACAGACGAAAAATTAAACTGCTTCCCACAAGTAAGATAAACCAAGCACTGGAGCCTGTTACTGAGAACCCCCCGTGATCAAACCTCCGGTTTCGCTACAGCGACCAGGTGTCCCTACAGCAGGAGGAGCCCACTCTGTTCTGCTGGGAGTGGAACGGGAAACAGAGTACAGAAGCAAGGCACTGAGTGCAGAGGCATGAATAGCGTCCAAGCAGAATGAGTTCAGCGCACGGGTGGGCAACAGACAGACAGCAGCGGCCGCGCGGGAGCCGGGGTGCACACTGCAAAGCGGGATCCTCGGGCTGCGGCAGCCGCCCCAGTGTCTCGCCCGCAGAGAGGCGCGCGAGTCAGGCGCACACCCCCCCAACGCCAGTCCGCCGCTCTCCGCGAGTCCCCTCCCAGAAGACACACGCCCGCAGCCACCGGTGCACCAGACCCCGGCTCGCGCGCACACACGCCCCCGGCCCGGCGGCACTTACGTACCCAGGATCACGCAGAACACATCGAGGGCCACGTACGGCAGCCGCGTCTTGTCAAACATGGTCTCGGCCCGGGCGGCCCTGCGCGGGCAACAGACAAGGCACCCGTCTCACGAGTCCCGGCCGGGGGCTAGCGATGATCCCGAGCTGCAGCTCCTCCCAGCCAGGGAAGAGCAGCCAAGGGCGAACAGGGGCCGGGCGGCGCTCTGACGGCCGGCAATGGCGCCCGGGAACCCTGCCCTCGCAGGTCCTGCAACCTCTCGGTGGAGGCCGAGACACTCGCGTATCAGCCGCGGCAGCTCTGCGGCCTCAGGCCCTCCACGGTCGGCCCTGGCTTCCCTCCGCCGTTCACTGGCCGGATCCCGGCGCCCTCTCCAACAGGCGGGGCGTCTGGACTCGTGCTTTAAGGATGCGGACCGGTAGGGAGGAGGAACACGGGCTCGGCCCCTCCCGCGGGGCAGCGCGGGACCCGCCAGCTCCAGGCCTTGCAAGCTGAGGGAGCGCGATAGGGGCGGGGCGGCCAGTAAGTGGCGACGGGGCGGGGCCAGGGCTGGGACACAACCCCCGTTCGGGGTGCTCTAGCCAATCAGCGCCCAAGGCTCCGCCCCGGCCGTCCTGGGGGCCCGCCCCCTGATGTAGGACGCTGGCGAGCGGAATAGAACGTGGGTCTCGGGTGCGGTACGGGGATTGTTGCTCGAACCCGCATTCCTCTTATGATAACTGAATGCGGCCTGGCTAGCACCGGCCGCCGATTTTTGCTGCTTCAGAGGGAAAACTAAGCGCCCCTCCCACGACCCTAGAGCTTCTGTCAGCTCCCCTCCTCCATAGGGATTGCTTGAGTGGTGCGGAATAGGCACTTTAGGCCACTCTAAACCGTCTGCTTACCTAGGCCTTCAAGTCTAACCCAGTATTAGTGTGAAATCTGCTAAATCATCCCCCACCCTTGTTATCTTTGATATGTGATCAAACTTCTTATCTCCCACCTTTGATATTAATTTAAGTCCGTAGTCTGCCTTTAGTAAGGAGCCCATTACCGTTAATGTTACCTCTTAGTAACTTTCTATCCACTGACCCCATCACTCAGCTTGTTTGTTGACTGTAAATTCGCAGCGGTCTTTGCCATCTTCAAAGTCAAGCACAATTTCTACTATGGCAATAGTCTTGAATAAAGTATTCTCACCATTTTAACAAGTGTCAATAATTTTTCTTTAACGGCAGTTAAAGAAAATCCCCGATTCCGGGAGGACCCTCGCGAAAGTTTAGTAAATTTCGGTTTCCTAATCTGTAAAATTGGGACGTCAATAATCCCTGCTCTGTGTTACTGTCAAAAAGTGGTGAAACCTGGAAAAAATAACATGAAAGTGTTTTCTGAAAGGTCATATACTCTATAGATGTCAACGATTAGTATCTTTCCTCATATGTTCTGATACAAATATGTAAGATGCACATTGAAAACTGTACCTACTACTTCTAAAATTTTTCTTCTGAAATACTCCTAAAACCAACGGAGAGATAATATTGCGCTCACAGAGCCTATAGTACCAAGTGATCCCCCACAAGCAAAAAAAAAAAAGTATTTTAAGAAGCATGTTATGTTTTTCTTTAAAAGGAATGTGAATTTTGGAATTCACCTTTTGTTCGATTATCTTTAAAATGTTTTAAATGATGTGTACCTGAGAAAGATATGCCATGGTTCTATGGCTTCCCTTATTTCCAGAGTTAAAAGGACCCCAGATTGCAAGGCTACAAGAAATCGAAATTACGTGATATGTAAGTATTAGATATTCATTCAAAAAACATTTACTGGAACTGTGTACCAGGCATAGTCTAGGGACAGTGTTTTAAACAGCTTTTGAAATAAACATTTTCTTTTAAAAATGCTTTATCAAAAGTAGGCATTCAAAAAACCTTAGTTTAACGCTGTTGTTCATTGTTTATTCACTCATCCATTCATTCAACGTTTATTGAGCCCCCAATATATATGAGCCCCAAGTGCACAGCTGTGGAGAGACTAAGATGAGCAAGAGATCTCTGCTCTCCAGGAGTCTGCTGCCCAGTCAAGAAAACTGGCATGTAATTAAATGAATATTGTGATAAAAGTATGTTTATATTCAGCAGGCACACAAAGGGGGTTTCCTCGGGAGCTCTGGAAACACTCCATTGGGAAAGTAATGCATACATTCTTCTTTCCTAACCCTCTCCCATACCAATGGATGTTTTCTTAGGTGAGAAGGAAGTAAACAGTTGATATATTAACAGATTTCTTGACCTTTTGGAGGAGTTGCAGATAATAGCTTTAAAAATAGATCAACAAAGCAAAGTCCATCAAAATGTATTATCATTTCCTGTCATTTAAAATAGGATCTCTGATTTGTGCAGATTATAAACAATTAAGTCCTCAGTTGAAGTGAGAATGACTAAGATGTGTCATTTTGTTTTGGGGGTGGAAGTTTTTGTTTGTTTTTGGAGGTGTTTTGGTCTGTTGTCATGGCTGGATTCTGGTGTGATCGTTGGAAGTGAGAATAGGTTAATTAACCTTAAAAAGATGGTGAAAATAATAAAAAGGAAACTGATTGATCAGTGGTGACACCATTTTCACCCTTGTTGGGGTAGATACTACTAGTGTGTCCCTAGACTAAACATGAAACCTCAGAGGCTTCCTTAAATGCTTAACAGAATTTGTCCTTGGGCTCGTTATTTTTCTCTCTAATACAGGCATCAAACAAAAGCAGAGTGGGCTTGGGAAGAATAGTCCTGAAGACTCCCTGCAGAAGAGAGAAACTTTCTTCCCTCGTTACTAAGCAGTTTGAAAAGAAGACTATAATCTACATCCTCCATTTTTACTTTCTCTTAAAATACTTCTATATTCGCACTTCTGTTCCCACTCCTCTTTTTGCTCTGTTCTTTAACATAATATTGGCGAGTCCTCCTCTCCTTGTTCTAATGGTGCTTGTCCCAACTTATTTATTTCAAAAAGTGTCTGCAAAGATTAAGAATAAATTCCCTTAGAGTATTTATATTCATATGTGCTTGTCTCCTTTCTCCCCACCTGGACTGAAACAAATATAGTTTTTATCATACTCAAATAGTATTGTAAAACTAAAACACTAAAAAATGTAAAACACTAAAAAGTATATTTGCCGCCCCCCAAAAATTTCGCACTGTGGTATGTTATAATTCTTTAAACACTCATTGCCAAAGCTACTTCTTATTTTATTGAAGTTTTTATGTAATATTTCATACACAAATATATATAAGTTATGAAGCATAATAAAATCAGCAACTATGAATTCACTACTCAATGTAATACAAAAAGCATTTCAGTATCAGTCAATCTATCTGTGTGTTCTAGCCTTTTCTTGTTCTCTGCTTCAGGAAAGATGACCACTACTCTGAATTTTGTTTTTATCTTTTCCTTGATTTGTTATTTCTTTTTGGAGAAGCACATAACCACATGTGTATATATCTCTAAAAATATATATTGTTTTGCCTTCTTGTTTTTTAGCTTTCAAAACATGCCATATACATAGTCATCTACTTTTGTTTTTTCTCACTGAGAATTATATTTCTTACATTCATGTTGCAATAATTGTTGCAATAATCTATCGTATAACTAAATCATTTTATTCATTCTTCTGACAATGAGCATCTGGTTTGTTTCCATTTTTGCTGTTAAAAAAAATGCCTCTGTGAATATTGGGTGTACGTTCTTGTGTGCAATGACTAGCTATGGAATTGCTGCATGGTAGGATGTGCCCACATCCAACTTCACTAGATTATCCCAGATTGCATTCCTAAAGGATTATACCATTTTACTCCACCCACACCAGTAGTGGATAAGCCTCCCCATTTTCATCAACACTTATTTTTGAGGATGTAGTTCCATAGTGTAGCAGTTAGCACGTCTGCTTTATATGTAGAAGGTCCTGGGTTTGTGCCCCAGTGGAGCCACGGTCCATGGTCTACAGCCATGCCACTCTGAACAAGCCTAATGTCTGATCTCAGAAGCTACGCAGTGTCGGGCCTGGTTAATACTTGGATGGGAGACTAACTAGAGAGACCAGATGCTGTAGGCACAAATAATAATAATAAAACCACTTATTTTTGAGATTTCTTAATTTTTTCTAATTTAATGGGTATAATGTATATTTCAATGTAGTCTTAATTTGCATTTCCCTGATCATTAATGTGGCTGGGCATCTTTTCCTGAATTTTTTTTACCAAAAATGTTTCCTCTTCTGTCACTTACCTATTCATATCTTTTGCCTATTTTTCTATTGGGTCATTTATCTTATCAAAGTGCAGTAAATTTTTATATTCTTTATATATTCTCAATAGTAATTCTTTGTGTTGTAAATTTTTTCTCTCAATATGTGGCTTGTGATTTCACTTCCTTTATAAGCAGCTATGCGACGGAATTATTGTAAATGTAATGTAAGCAGAAGTCTACTGACAGGTTTCTGTGAAAGTTTTTGCTTTCCTGACCAAAGGAAAGAAATAGCTTCCTTTCCTTTCTTTTCTACCTTCCTTAAAAATGGACATGATATTTAGAGCTACAACAGCCATCTTGTGATCATGAGAGAAAGGACAAGAAAAATCATGTCACTGGTGTTTATGATGTTGAGCTACTAAAACAACCAGTACTGGCTACCTCCAGATTTCTTTGTATGTGAGGAAAAAAATGGCTTAAGCTTCAAATATTCACAACTGGTAAAAGGCTCAAGAGTATTCTGATTCCTATTACTGAGAAATCATAAGTCATATTATTCTAGGAAAATCTTTTACTTGAGCTAACTTAATTGAATTTCTGGTCCTGGAAACCACAAAACCACAATTTGAGAAGATAAAAA